TATAATGTATTTTATATATATATAATTTAAAATTTTTAATTTAAGTAATAAAATTGTTTTTCAAATATTAGAAAATGTACCATAAAAATGTCTCCTAAAAGCAGGAAAGACTGCATGTGTGTGCGTAGTAGTTTAGAATTATGTGTGTAATTTGCTGGTATGAGGAGCTGTCACTCAATTGAATAAAATCCACAGAAAAAATAACCTATAGAAAGATTTTATAATATGTAGCAGTAACACTGTTTACTTCTCATTCTCTGCAGACTTTTCTTCGCAGGAATTAGAGATTTTCATATGTTCCTTTTCATCTTCCTGGCTTCAAATGTTTGTTGCAGAAGCAGTCTTTAAAAAGTTGTGTCTACAGAGCTATGCCAGTATATCTTCTGAGCCACTCTCTCTCCAGAAAATAGTAAGCACTACTCTATGCAAGTTCTTTTTTATTTCTAAGAAGAAAATTCATGAATTCAACTTTAATTCTTAGCTCTTTCTTTTAAGTGAAAAGAACACCATTCATATATCTTTCCAACATATTTTTCTATCTCAATTGTAGATTGTGGGGGTGGGGGTTGTGGCTCAATGATTAAGATTGCTTCTTGCCCTTCCAGAGGACCCAAGTTCAGTTCCCAGCACCCACAAAAGGTGGCTTACATCTGCTTTTAACACTATCTCAGGCTCTGATGCCTCTTCTGGCTTCCATGGGCACCTGTACACAAAAACACACATGCACACAAATTGAAAAAATAGAAATTAATCTTTTTTTAAAAATAGATTGCCAAATAGATATTTTGTTTAAGAGTACATAAAAAGAACCTTTGTACAGTTTTTGCTCCTTGCCCTCCAAGGTCGACTGAGTTCAAGGGGGCTATGAGCATCTCAAAATGTTCTGTAACTGTGGTGAGTCACTTGTCCTCTTGTTCAAGGAGGCCATGGAGACCCTACCAGATGGACTTGAACCAGTGTACATTGTAGAAAGAGGAAGGTCAACACAGGAAACATTTCCTCCATGCTTCCAAGTGAAGCCAGCCATGGTTGAGCAGGCCCTTTGACTTGTCTTCACATAGATGGAACTGGTAAAAGAAAGGAGCCAGGGGCTCCTCCCAAGTCCATGTGACCCCTGAGGAACAGATCCTCAAACAACCTTAAGAGTAAAAATAAATTGGTTTATTTGGGCCAACTGTAGAGTCTTAAACACCCAGAAGGAAAGTATAACCAGAGATTAAAGTGATCAGTATATTTCTTTAAGAGTCCATGTATATAGCTAAAGGCTACATAACAAAAAACAATGCCAGACAGGAGATACCTTCCTTTGAGTTGTTGGCCAGGGTGGCCCAAGACACTCCCAGATAATAACCCAGCATAGAACTGTTAAAATGAACAGCAGACCCCAATCTTATCTAAAGGAATGTTGGCAACTGATTGTTGCTAGATGAGGAAGACCTGATCAAAACAAAGGACTCTAAATAGGTTGACTAGACTCTGCAGATGGATTTGCACTGGGGAACGGCTGGGGACACTGACAACACAGTGCACAGTAACAGGGATGACAGAGTATAGGGACTCCAGTGGCAGGGGAAGAGGGGCTAGGCAGAGTGCCATTTGGGATGCGGGTATAAAGATGAATAAGATTTGAATAAGATTGTTTGGAATGTTGTGTATGAAATACACACACAATAAAAAAAATTTAAAAAAAGAACCTTTGTTTCCTAAGCATTTGCTGTAATATATAAGAATATTTTGTAACAATATCTTAAATAGTCTATGTATTTGGCATTTCAAAACAAAACTTGCAAATGCTATATCCTATGTACACATGCTTATAAGTTGCATTTGATCCCAGGTTTTCCATTTTGTCTTGCCCATGTTAGATATTAAGGTCTAATATCTCTAGCAATTTCTTCAACAAATGAAAAATAAATATGTGGGCAAATTGTTTTGTGATAATACTTGTAATGGTGCTTTCACTTCTTATCCATTTATTCTGGACTTACTCTCTATTCAATAAAACCATTAGCAATATAGAACAAAATATCTATTGTTCATAAGTCATAAATATAAAAATATATAAATTAGTCATAAGTTGGGCATAAGACATAAGCAAAAGAACTTTCCTAAGTGAGCATCAAAATTAAACCAGGAAATTTAATTCTTTCCCAAAAGGTGCCTCTCTTCTCATCTGCTTGATACTGACCTAGTGACACAGAGCTAGCAGTTTCAGTATTTAATCATGTTCAGAGATGATACTATGGCAACCTAGTTGTGAAATCAAGAAAATATAATCAGATTTAATAGTGAAATGATCAAGTAATTTCTTTTTACTGCTCTTTATAGTTGAGAAGGTGATATTCTGTTTTGCAACAGGTATATTCCTATTTGCAAGCTTTGGGGAAAACAGGTATGCATGTTTCTGAAAAAATGCATATGCCAAAGAAAATAGGGCAGCGGCCTTGCCTTGAATCTCAGAGAGCGTTACTGATGCTGAATGGTGCTAAGCAGAAACAAGTTGATGGTCTGCCAGAGTTACCGTAAGTGATGCTGTTACTCCAGCTATTCCTTGTTTGGAAATATAGCCTTTTCTCAGAGCCTTTCTTGAACTTTAGGTTATATGGGGTATTGTCAGGATTATGTTGGTTAGAGGATGACTCAATTTTAGACTCACAAGCACACGATTAGTACTTTCTTTCCCTGCAATTCAAAGAACATACTTTCCTTTTACTAAGTGTGTCCCAAAGAAAAGAAACTATTCTTCGAACTCTGGATTTAGACACATTTTTCTCTGAAATATTAATTATTACTTTTCTGTAATCTGAGTGAGATTTTAGCAGGCATGAGCATGTGAGATACTCTAAACTTCTGTACTAGTTTTCCCAGAATTACAAATTTCCTTGGATGGGGAACTCTGAGATTCTGAGGTCTGCATTCTAATTTAGTTTCATCTGTTTGTTTGTTTATTTGTTTAATGTTTGCTTTTTGTGGTTTTTTGAGACAGGGTCTCCATATGTTGCCTGGTTGGCCTGGAACTCACTGTGTAGAGTAGGCTGGCCTCAAACTCACAGAGACCCTATTGCCTCTGCCTCCTGGGTGCTGGAATTAAAGGTATGTTCCACCATACCTGCTCAGCTTTACTTATGACTTACTTGGTTTCTTTCTTTTTACCTAACATTCTAGTCTCATTACTGCTCATTAGTGAGCAGTTGGGGGTATATAGAAATAAATAGAAATTTAATGCATCAAAATTTGTTCTTAGATAGTTGACACCAGTTTAAAAATTAGAAGGCACTATGATTGAATAAGTGGGTCTAAATAAAAGGAAGGCTACATTTGAAAGAAAAAATAATTGGTATCTAATATATGCTGGCATGCCTTACTGAAAAACCAGCTTTCCTTAGTTTTCTTTCCTTTCAGAGAGCTGAACCTTGCTAAATGTTCCTCATCATTGAAAAAATTGAAAAAGAAGTCAGAAGGAGAATTGTCATATTCCAAGGAGAATTGCCCCTCTTTAGTTACAAAGATGAATTTTCACAAGACTAATCTAAAAGGTATCCCACGTATCTGAATTAATTTATGCTAAGAACTTTCCATGGTTTGTAGTCAGTACTTGCAAATTTCACACATTTGCCCTGATGAATGTTTGAACTTAAATATTGGACTTGGTCCAAGAAATACCTTCTTGGATAGCATATTATTTTCTTGAACTGTCATTTATACAAAGGAAATGATCATTTAATACCTGGTGTAATAGAATCTGCCTCTCTTCTCCCCCCACCTTCCCACATGCTCAGTAGTGTGTGGCACTTACTAAGCTCATTCCAGCCTTGCCTGCCTTACTTTTCTATACCACATCAACCTGTGCTGCTTAGGATCAGTGTCTCTGATTTAAAAGTATAATTCAGTCTTCATCTCTTTCAGTCCTAGACATTCTGTGAACAAAGAATGAGGAATAGGCTATGCTGCATAGCTGTGTTAAGCATATGGGCTCTTTTCTTCTAGGCACTGAGCCCAGACTATGAAATGTGTTTGGCTTTTGGTTCTAACTGTACTGGAACCTAAGTACCTAAAGGATGGAAGAACAAGAATAGTGCTATAATAATTTACTCTAGCACCTCTTTCACTTAGATATCTCTTACCTTGGAAATACAAGTTATCATCAAAGAATCTGTACCTGGCAGAACTAAATTGCTCTCTTGTTTCTAAGCTATGTTGTGTTTTTAATGCAAGTATTAACATGGCATTCATGAAAATAGTGAAAACTAAGCTTTTACAGTCTTTTAGTCTGATCTCGTTTATAATTGCATGCTACAAATTCAAAATAACTGTCCATTTGGCTCAAAATATGAAAAGTATATTAGATGAGAACTAAGATATTAACTTCACAAATTAGTGTCTTTTTTTCTTTGTTTTATTGTTTCTGAAAGAAAAATGAATATGAATGACTAGACTGAACAACAGAAGGAATTGGGAGAGGGGAAGAAAATTGAGAAATAGAGAAAAACTTGAAAAGCTTTCCTATGCATGTAAAAGAAATGTTTTACTAGAAGCTCAGAGATAATCTGTAAAACTGAGCTCTATAAAAATGTGCTACTCAGTATTTTATAGCAAGAAAATATGATTCCATATTTCATTATGTTTCCTAAGCAGTCACAAGTTTTTAAAAATTTCCCTTATGTCAAATTATGACTTATATTTTATTAATCTTGATTATAACCAAGATAGGAATAAATACTTTTGACCAGAGCTACTAATTGCATCCCTGTTAACAAACATTTTGCCATTCTATTTGCTATTGTTGTTCAGCTTTAAATGGTACTTAGGGAATTTTTTTTGTCGTGTGTGTGTGTGTGTGTGTGTGTGTGGTGTTTATATTAAGATTCTTCCATTTCTCCCTCTGTGCTGCTGTAGCAAAGCCAGACAGCCTATTGAGAAGCAGCAAACCATCTGTTAATGGATCTGAAGTTCTGAATTATACTTGAGTGTGTAGAGGCACTCGTGCTTAGCAAGAAACATTCATTTGAATTAAGCTATAAATGCTGTATAAGAAAGAGCCATACATTTAGTGTAGGTTCATGAATAAATTTAAGAGAGGACAATTGCACTCTAAAACTTTTATTGCCTCAAAATCCAGTATTTTTGGTGTTCTCTGATCATTTGGGGTTTTTATAGCAGGATTGAAGCTTTAAACCTTGAACTAGGGGGAGACAATGCCTGTGTTAAACGTTTGCTGTAGAATTTCATTGCTGATGGAACAGAAGCTCTATGGATTGCTGGGGTTCTTTTTTTTTTTTTTTTTTTTTCAATTAATTCGAAGTTTAAATCAGTCAAATGGAAAACTCAATAATTTTCTGGCATGGGCCAGATCTCTAGTTCCTGGCCTTTGATTATTTTCTTTAGTTGATATCTTGTCTTCTCTGGAATAATCTATTAATTTTTTATGGCAGGAGAAACAGCCCTGCATAGAGCTTGCATAAAAAACCAAGTGGAGAAATTGATTATTCTTCTTTCTTTGCCAGGAATAGACATCAATGTTAAAGGTAAGTTCTATAAATCTTTGTTGTCTCATCAAATGTCTTAAAATCTGTCATGCAAATTAGTTTTATATCACACTAAGAAAAATCATTTAAGTAAATTTACCTAAGATTTTTTTTTTAAAATACTGCCATTAGCAAAACCAAATTTATTATGTGTGATTTATAGCTAATGGTATGAAAATATTTTTAGTGATAATATTCTGGTCATATCCCAACATTAATGTTTTAAAGTTATTTTTTGTTTTCATTTTTTAAATAGCAATGTGATTACATTGTGATCATTTTCATCAAGGTTTTTTTTGTGGGTTTGGGTTTTTGGTTTTGTTTTGTTTTTTTAAATATGAAGCTCCTACAAAGTCAGACTGATAGAGACATAGAATATCATGCTTTACAACCTAAGTCCTACTTCTGCTGTTTTAAAACTTGCCTTGATTTCTAATTTAGACAATGCTGGCTGGACGCCTTTACATGAAGCCTGTAACTATGGCAACACAGTGTGTGTCCAGGAAATTTTGCAGCGTTGTCCAGAGGTAGATCTGCTCACTCAAGTGGACGGGGTGACTCCTTTGCATGATGCACTGTCAAACGGACATGTAGAGATTGGCAAGCTGCTACTACAGCATGGGGGTGAGTGCATTATGGTAAACAGGTTTTGATAAATTATCCAGGTTTTTTGATGAATTCCTTGGAAGTAGATAGCACTTTATATTTAAAATCTGTAAGGAAAGATGCGCTTATTTGATATTAATGAAAAAGTAAAGGCAAAAATCTTCTAAAATATAACCACCTTTTGTTAGTTGTGCTAAAGACCCTTTCATATTTATTTGTATATTTTTTTAATCTATTGAGGTTCTTATGTGACAGTATATTTTTAATTGAATTTGTTGTTTTTAAATATTCCTTTTACTTAACACACATAATGTCTCTATGAGCTAGTCATTTCTAAAAGCTTGTCAATAAGTGGATATAAATGCTCCTTGTGGTTATTTGGACGTTTTGTTTCCTATATGTAACTGGCTAACTCAGTGTTATTTTTGTAAGGCATTTCTTTATAGAGAAGATATACTAGAATATTTTTCTTCATTCACATTTTATAGACAGTTAAGTTAAAGTAGGATTTCCAAAGGGTAATAACAGTAGCAAGGATTTTGTGAAGAAGTAACTTAGACTTCATATTCATCTATTGCTTTTCCTGCTGGTTTTATATCTTTATATTCAGCAAGTCCCTTCCTTTTTACTGACATTCCTATTTCTGAACTGAGAATTATAAATATTGCATTAAAATTTTCAAACTAATTTGTGTTTTAAAACAGAAAAAAGAAAACTGATGACTAGCTTGTAATGTGAAAAAACAAACATTTGTGTAACTCTTCTATTGGGTTTTACTCATGCTAATTTTAACTTGGAATTTGATGTGATTTTATGTTGTAATGAAAGCATTTCATTCTGCATAGAAACAAAAGGCATATTCTCTACATTTTTTTTTCTTGTCTATGCATCTGAGAAAGGTTGTTTAGCATTATGGCTTAAGACACTTGGTTATTTATAGTCTTCTCCTGCCCCCTAAAGGCCTAAGTGTGTTGTTTTATCAACACCATTTCATAACCAATGTACTTTTCAGTTCTTCTCGCTTTTTTTTAAATTATTATTATTTGTTTTTAACTCTAATGCTCTACCTCTAAAATATTCTGGTTTTCTGCTCTGACATTTATCTGACATTCAAGCCAATATTTGGTCCTTTATCAAACTAAGTGATATGCTAAACATCAGCATATCACCAGCTCAACAATAGACATAACATTAGGTCAACCAAATGTGAATTTTACTAATGAATAGTACTAAGTGAATGAGTCCCTTGATCTAAGAGAGGAATCTACTTGCATTTGAGTTTGTGAAGGTCCTTTGGCAAGTACTTGTTTTTGCCTCATTCAGTCAGATACTGGGTTTGGATCTGTCAGGTGGTTTGACGTTATCACTGTGGTAAGCTATACTGTCCATTCACTGAAAGTCAGTCTTGAGAGCAGTAATATCTCTAAACCTTTGTTTGTTTTAGGTACTAATGATTTTCTCTAATTTTAAAACAAGAAATATTTCAAACATTTTTCCATTTGAGTTTGAAATGTTAATAGAAAAGCAGATAACCCAATTTTCACTTCAAATTCTTTTTTTTATAAATTATGCATCAGTCATATATCAGTGGTTGATCATTTATATTAAACATTTTATACATAGGCCATTATATATGTGTCATAGTCATCAAGAGTTTTAGCACTTATTAATCCACTGTCTTTCTGACAATATGACCTATGTTATAATGTTAGGAGTTTCCTGTCCTGTACTTTCAGATATGGATAACATTTTCATGGCTAGGTGCATACAGGACTCTTAAGATTTGATTGACAAAGGTACAAAGTACTCCTGTACTTTGCTATGACCAAGCCCCTGTGTCTTGTTATTTTGCCCATCTTATATCATCCTTTAATACATAGGATATAAACTCCCATTTTCAGGACTTGTGTATATAGATACTCTTTTCTTGAACAGATGGATCAGCTCTGAGTTTGATGCAGAAAATTTAATATTGAAGTTTTTGTGAATCACTTACCTTTACTAACATTAAACATAAGCAAGGATGAATAGAAAATTCTGTATTGTATCTGTGCAGTTTGTAGAGTCTCCATATTGCCAGATGATCAGCAGTGGAAAAGGGAACTTTTTGTCTTTTGATAAAGTAGGCCAAGCCCTTTACAGAATTTAAGATAAATACATTTTGTTAGTTTCTTCTGGGAACATTGAAATTCTTGTTATTAGATGATACGCAGTAAGGTTTATAAAAGGCTTTTTCATTTAACATCGTATATACTACTTACTAACTAGAGTATGTACTTTTAGGTCAACATTATTGGGCACTTGGCTAGAATTTTGGTTTTTGTAAATGCATGTTTATTAGTATGTATAGCCAGTTAACTTTGTCAGCATGGCTTGACAACAAATATGATTATAAACAGAGGCCTGTGTGCTTTAGTGAAAAAGAAAAAAGAAATAAAGCTATTACACTATCAAAATAAAAAAATGTTTTGCTATTAACATTTTCTGTTTTCTTTTTCATAGGCCCAGTGCTTTTACAACAGAGAAACTCTAAGGGGGAGTTGCCCTTAGACTATGTGGCATCACCTCAAGTCAAGGAAGAACTATTTGCTATTACAAATATAGAAGATACAGTAGACAACTTTCATGCTCAAACGGAGAAACATTTTTATCACCAGCAACTTGAATTTGGCTCATTTTTACTTAGTAGGATGTTACTAAATTTTTGTTCCATTTTTCATATATCTTCAGAATTAATCTTAGCTTTCAAAGGGTTAGGTTACACAGAAACCACCAATGCTCATACCGACTGGTTACTAGATCTTTATGCTAGAAATATAAAGACCTTGCAGAAGCTCCCACATATTCTTAAGGAACTTCCTGAGAACCTGAAAGTATGTCCCGGAGTTCATACTGAGGCCTTATTGGTGACATTGGAGATGATGTGCCGGTCAGTCACAGAGGTTTCATGATGATGGCAAAAAGTATGAGTCCTTTTTCCAAACATGTTCAACTTGCTTTGTCATTCAGGATAGACATGGTAGTTTCTGACAGATACTCATTTGATTTATTCACTGACAGACTTTGCAGCCTGCTAAATTTTAAAAGCACTTAAAAAACTTCTACAGAACTAAGATGGGCTCTTTTTCCAGTGTGTAGAATTTGACTCAGAAAGATAAAATAATCAACCAAAATAGTTTTGTTGGGCATAAACTGCTTTCATTAATCTTTAAAAAAAGTTTGTTCTGAAAATATTTATTTATATTGTATATGTAAAAATTAATTTAAATATTTTTTCAAATCAAAATGTAATATCCTTTACCTAGGTGTTATAGATCTTAAAATCATGGCAAGAATATTTATTCATATAAATGTGCATCTACACACTTGTAAGACTTCCTGTTTCTTCTTTATAGGCCAATGACTAAAATGTGCTTTTGGTTTTATGTGTTTCTAAAATAAACATTCTGAAATTTTAAATGATATTTAGTAATCTTTTGGTTTATAAATGCATTAGGATGCAAAGTCTGGTGATTCAGTTCCTTGATGTGCTTTATTTTAGAGTCAGGACAAAGTGTGTTACTGCTCTATGTAACCAATATTCTATAAATGAAGACATTTCCTGCATAATAAGTTTTATTGAATATTTCAAGTGGCACCTAAGTAATAGATGTAAGATTATCTAAAATGTTAATGTCCAGTATAAATTTGCAGATTAGTGATTCAATATTCAGGTTTTTCCCTAATACTTTATAGTTAAAAGATAACCTGTAGGTAAAATACCCACTTTTGAAATTGGAGTTCCTTCACCAGTGATAATAAATTACATTGTGATACAGCTCAAAAAGAAACTTAAGAACTTCCACTTAGCTTTTATGTGACTGAAGTGCTGATCTAACATCAGTTAATCTGATGAAGTATACTTCAGCTTTATCTTACAGATTTTTTTTAATTCATTCATTTATTTTTATGTGTGTGAGTGGTTTTGCCTGCCTCTATGCAAGTGTACCACATGCATGCAGTCTTCTGGTCTATAGAGGCTAGAAGAGAATATCAGACCCTCTGGATGTGGAGTTGCCAATGGTTGTGAGCTGCCATGTGAATGCTGGGAGTTGGGAGCTGAACCTGTGTCCTCTAGAAAAGCAGGCAGTGCTCTTAATGGCTGAACCATGTCTCTGGCCCCATACAGACAGGTGTTTTAACAAGATACAATGCTCAGTTTCTTATTATTGGGCTTATAATCCAAATTGATAATTGCTATATTAGTATATCAGCTCTTAATAAAAGCAAGTTTTTGTTTATATTGTAAAATTATTTTTACATATACTATAAGGAATATTTTTTTAAAAAATTTTTTATTTACTTACTGCCAAGGTGTTAGAAAACATAGCCATTTGGGAGGCTGAGATTGGGGATTTCAGTGAGTTTGTTGCCAGACTGGGCTACAATATAAAACGGGTAGGGTGGGATAAGAAAGAGGCACAGAGGAGGGACAAGGGGAGCATAGGAAATGAACCAGAAGAAACCGGAATAGTCACTTAGCCTCGTTTGAAAAGGCCCCTGGGATAGTGCTACTTGGTAAACTCAAACAAACTTAAACATAGGCCTTGACATCAGTCACAGTTTAAGTCTTTGTCTAGTTTAACTAAATTGCAAGGACATTTTTTTTTCCCCCGAGGTTTTGTTTTCTTATAGTTCAAATGGAAATAACACCAGGTATGCTTGTCAATGTTAGAATTAAACTATCACTTTATATGATGCTTCATAAACTTTCTTTTTCTTCCTCTTTGGATTGCTGAACCAAAAAGAAAGATGATAATTACTTGAGTTGATAGTAATTTTAAGATTAAAAAAATTAGCCAGCAATCATGAGTTAAGGTTTTGTACTATTAAGGAAAAGTAGTTTTGTAAATTAATGAAATGTTCGTTTGGTAGCACTATCAGTAATACTGCATAACAGACTGTTCTGTGCCACCTTCTACAAACCATGAGGACATGTGCTTTGAAACTCGGGTGCTTTTGAGGTCTCTGCCTATAAGAAGGTGGTGTTTTTACTTGAAAAGTCCAGCATGGCAAGTACAGATACTGTGTTCCGTGCCAACAATTCTAGCATATGATATGCACTTAAACCTGCAGAGAAACACACTGGAACATTCTAATTTCTGATATTATTTCTTGTATTTATGGTTAAGAAAACATGGTCATTATTGCCTTAAATCCATCTTAGAGGCTGCAAGGGAAGAAATTCTAAAATCTTAGAAGTTTTTATTTGAGACTTTTCAAAATTGCAGCTGAAGACAAAGCTGAGGAATGCCGTTTTTCTTGTACTTTGCCAGATTAATATCATTCCATGGAATTGGTAGAGAGAAAAATCAGAGCCCTGATCACTATAAATAAAGCTTAGAAGGAGTTTTCTGGGCTGTTATGATTCAGCTTTCCTCCATGTACTTTCATTGGCAGTTCTTTAGAAAAGATCTTCATGAAGTTTTCTGAATTCTCTAATTTTAGTTTCACTGTGCAGAATAGTGCTTCAAATATATATATATAAATTTCTTCATTAACTCCAAAATGACCAGAAAATCATTTCTTTTTACATAAATCAAATATAAAATTAATTATGGCTTTGAGTTTAACATTTCTTGACTACCTAACAAAGCACAAGATAGTATACTTCACAAGAGCCTGCTCTACTACAAAAAAGAAAGATTTGCAGTCTGAGAGGTGCATTTGACTTAATGTCAATTTTGTTGTTTTCTTAGGTGCTGTTAAAAAAAAAAAAAAACAAGTTAGTTTGGGCCTGGAGAGATGGCTCAATGGTTAAGAGCAGGTACTGCTCTTCCAGAGGACCTCAGTTCAATTACTAGCAACCATGTCAGGCAGCTCACAGTTGCCTGTAACTCCAGCTCCTCCTCAGGGATCTTAATGCTCTGGTTTCCACAGACACCTGCCTTACATGCACGTGCTTGGAGATACAAACTTAAAAATAAAAATAAATTCTTTTTTAAAGTTTAAGAAAAACAAGTTAGTTTTATATGTTTCAAAAGTTTAGTAATAATACTCTACTTTTTAATGTGAAATATTGAGTCTGGTAGTATAATCCTTTGATAAGTATTATTTTGGTAGTTTTATTTTAGAATACACAGACAGCGAGTATGCTTTTGAAGTCTTAGTACTCATTATTAGACAAATGCAGATGCATTAATGCTAGAATATTTTACATAAATGCTGTGGAGGTGTTTTTGCTTCTCTTTATGCTGTTATAGAAAGTCAAATGAATAGATTTATATGAAAAATTATTGGTGGACTGACTGCAGCCCTCGTGCCTTTTGCATTCACATGCTGAACTTGATAAGAACCTGTACCTGTTGCCCCTTAGTCAAGGAAAGGGGTCCTCTGAGTGACATAAGCACTCACTGCCCTCATAGCTTTCCAGGCCAGTTTGTTGTACCTCTTGGTAACCTCCATGCCAATTGCACTGCCTGCTGACATAGACCTTAACAAAACTCAGAATGATCATTATTTTTATATCAAATGTGGATTACGTAGGAAGGTCAGTTACAGTCATTGTTGGACTATGCCTGGTGATAATAAATACGGAGATGTGGAATTGTTAACTGTTGCTTATAAATCAGATCATGTTATCAAAAACTTCAGCTCATAGGTTAAGTGAATTATAATAGGAGGATATTTTATTTGCTTTGAGAGAGGCTTAGAAATAGACTATGTTAATTAGGAAAAGTTATAGTTGGTTTTGAGCATATGATGTTTTTTCAATGTACTACAGATCCTACTAGAGAAACTTGCAGAGAAAATAAATGTTTATATTTTTAACATCACTAATATTACATATTGAGAGTTTGCTCCCATAGTAAATTCTGGTCTTATAGAACATTTACAATATGTTTAACTTGTGACCCTAGTTTTTGAGAATACCGAGCAACATAGATGTGTTATCATTATTTGTTTCTTGAGATATGAAGTTGTATGAATTGTTAAAATAAAAATTTTCTGTTCAATTATTTGAAAAAGAGGCTTATTAGGTTTACACATCCAAGTAGTTATTTTTTTAACAGAAGGCTCTGCTTGGGAGTATTTTATCTATAAACTGTTTCCAATAATTTCATATATTTGAATTTATTGCTGTAATTTTATTGGGTGTAGGTATAGTTTTAATTATAAATATTCTTATCATACTGTTTTTCAAAGCTTGAACCACAACTCATGCCTAGATATAAGTGACTTTTTAAAAGTAATGCTTTGCTATTGAAGATATAACTATATTTACATCTTTTAAAAACAATATTGTGACCTCTTTCTGGGTTTAAAAGCTTGCTGAATTATTAATAAAACTCAACAGTATTGTCAAAAGAGTAGTGATCATTGTTATAGTAAACTTAATGAAAAGTATACATTATTTATATATAACATATAAATGTTGGAATATATTGCCCTTAACAAACAGGCCCAAAAAAGACCTATTATGTAAGCATCTATAAATACTAGTCTCCAATTACAATGAAATCATTTCTCCAGATTTGGTAAATCTAATCACCCTCCTTCCCATATTATTAAATTGTATCAAATGAGCAATGATGCACAATGGGTTTTAATCATTTATAAATGGATTTCTACTTTGGAATGTAAGATTCGAGTCTTATAAAAGGACATTAGCACTTCTGGAACTAGAAGTAAGTTGCACTGAACGGAAAGTCTGGAGTTCAGTGTTGAATTTATCTCATACAATCATTTGTCATGATAGTAGATGAACTGAAATTGCCGAAGCTTTTCTATTCTTCTGTCCCCAAGTGAAATAATCATATTGGGGGAAAAAATCATTAATCTTAAATTGGTGACAATTAAAAGAGCTTGATTTTCTGTCAGTGACTTCTCGACTTCAACATCAGGTCAGCAGTGGTTAATGTCTCCACTTATGTTAAGTTTTTTTAAATGACCAGAATGATTTGATTTATAATAAATATCCTTTGGTTTTGTCTTAGGGAATGTACATCTTGGGTATCTGACTTTACCTTAAAAAAAAATCATATATATATATATAGGTTTGCATTGTTTCTCTTTTACAAAATAGACATAAAATTACTGAGCAGTAAGTAGTATTAGATAAAATTCATTTGTACAGTTTAAAACACTTTCTGTGAAAATAAATGCAAAATGAAATGAAACCAGGGCAAGGGAGGAGAGAAACTGGTTAGGGAATGTAATAGCTAACAGGAATCAAGAAAGGAAGAACTTCTAAATGTTCTTTAATATGTTGATTGAAGTTACTGTAGATAGAAAAATCAGACAGATGATACATAGTCAGACCTGATTTCTGAGATAAACTATGTTCTTGAGATTTTTGAATAATTTTTATTATATATTTTTTATTTTATATGTATGACTATATTGCCTGCATGTATGTAAGTGCACCCAGGTTATGCAGTGCCCACAGAGATCAGAAGAGGGTGTCAGATCCCCTTGAACTGAATTTACAGGTGGTTTTTAGCTGCCATGTGGGTGCTGGGAACCTAACCTGGGTCCTCTGCAACAGCAACTAGTGCTCTTAACCACTGAGCCATCTCTCCAGCTCTGATTTTTGAATAATTTTAATAAGCTAAACCAAGGACCTAGACAGTTATTTTGTAATGGGTTCTTGTAGTCAAAGTTCAGTAAAAGTAAGTAAAGAGTAAAATTGCCAGTTTTAATGACATTAGAAACAGGCTGTTTTGACTAGTAGTGCTCAGTCCTGTCCTCAAAGTTAGGTAAGTCTCATTGTCTCAAGTATAGTGACATGTATGAAAATGTCATTGTGAAGCCTATTATAACTAAAGCAGTAATTAAAAATTAAATTTAAAAAATCTAATTGTCACAGTTATGTGTTTTCTGAGGAGTCTTTTCACATTTAACCCAGAAAAGGAGGAAGTGGTAAGAGTAAATGATATAGTCATCAGAGATTGAACCTTAAATGCTTTTTAAGGAAGTTCTTTACTGTGTTATTACAAATTTTCCTTCTGTCATCATTGATCTAGAAAAAAGTCAACTATGTAACTTATTTTCAACAAGGAGACAGATAGAACCAGCTGTCTATTTAGAGAATTCTGAAGTTACCTTGATATTGTTCTCCAGAGCACACTATTTTGCACCTATAGTGTGAAGACCGAAAAAGTAGCTTCATGTGTTAGGTAATGTTTGAAGGCAAAACAACTCGGTATTTT